TTTAAGCACTATTTTACTGCCTATAATTGGGGTTCTTGTAGTGGTACGGTTATAATTTAAATATTTTAAATTGTGAAAGACAGGATTTGCAATTCTTTAAATAATACATATATAAATAATGCTAATTATTTCAATAATAATTCAAATTATTTCAATAAACAAGTAAGTTAAGCTACTAGGTTTACTTATCCAATTTTGTAAAAATCTAAATCACTTTTGAAATTATTATAATATAATTTCTTTTTATTATTTTATTTAAAAAAGGAGCAAAGAAAAAATTTAACACTTAGAATTTATTTTTCGAGATATATTTTTTGCTTTTTATATATTTGGATATATTTATATTTTACAGATTAATATTACAACTCCGCTGTGCTACGCATCGGACCGGTGAGTCATAAATATATTTTAATCTTTAATGGATTTGTGAAAAAACTATATCAGATACATGTAACAATCCTTTTATATTAATTATTAGTAATAAAATGAAGATTAAAATTTTTTAAATAAATACTATAATAATAGTTTTTATAGTATTTATTTTTATATATGCGGTACTTAATATTTGAACATCTTACTTTTATTTCTATAATTATAAATATTATAATTTATGTAAACATCAAATGTTTACACACATTGAGAATATCATAGAAATAATTATATCTCACAAATCCATTAATCTTGGAATAGGCTATGCTGCAAATTAGTACCATTATTTAATATGAAAATATTTATAATCATTATTTGATTTTTCTATGTATTTATATGTGTACTCTCGCACATTTAAATAAAACTCACAAATAACTATCATAATCAATTCAATAAATAATGGATAAATAGATATCATGAAATCTTATAAATATATATAATATTATAACCAATTTATTTATTATCTAATCTTTTATCTGATCTGATTTATGATCTAAAATCTTATTGTGTAACAAATTATTAATTATAAAAAACAGAATTAATATAATATAATAATAATTAGGTTACGTAAGGATACGAGTTTAATAAATAATATATACAATAAATTGAAGTAAAACCGTATAAGCAATAATTTTTTTTTATAAGTGAATTGCAAAGTGCGATCATGGAATTACATTACATATTTTACATAGATTAATTAATATATTTAAGTTAATTGAAATATATTATATACCATATATGTATATATACACATTTATATACTTTATATACTATATGTATAAATATATACATATAGTAATTGATATTTATATAAATAATTGTTAATATTTATATGTGTAATATAATAATTAATAATCAATTAAAGAATAATTAATAATATTTATACATCTAATAATTAGCAGTCATGTATTCTCAGTTTGCCGTAATTACTGTTTAATTGTTTCACAAAACATGGCCCAATCATTTAGATTTATTATAACTTAAGAATTTATTAAGAGATAATATATATTTAAGAATTTATATTATTTTTTTTTTTTATATATAATACAAGAAAGAAAAAAGAAAAGAAAATATAAGATCCAATAAATATTTTATTAGAATAATCTTTTATGGATTATTATTAATTTAAAAAATGAAATCAGTTACGTGTATCGAGTATATTAACGTGGTATTATTATGTGAAATATACGTGTATCTCTCTCTCTCTCTAATATATTATTTTAAAAATAATGCTGTTGACAACGTAATAACAGAATATTTGTTTTGACATAAAAATTTATAATACCATGTATAAAGAACATAAAACATTTATAGTAATTTGATTGTACGAGAAAGGAAAAGAAGTCTATTACTTATGTATGTATTGGATCTTACGTTATCTTTCATCAAGCATGATGTACTGAATCAATTGTATCTAAATTTCACACTTTATGATTAAAATAATAGATCAATACATTAATTGATGGATACCAATTTACAATACAAATTATATTTGTTGTGCAAATATTTTACACTATTATTCAATTTTATTAGCCAATCTTGATATATATTCAGAAATTTAATATTTCACACACACAATCCACTTTTTCTCACTGTTCTCTATTTATAAGCCAGCAAATTTTTAATTTTTTTCATAATATATGTATACAAAAAATTGAAAAGATTCATATGGAGTATTCATATGGAAAAAAGAAATTAAAAAGATGCTGTGCTCTATAAATAATAATATATATAATAACGATAGAAGAAATGAATTTTGATTCTAATTTTTGAAATATGCTATCAATTTATCAAAACGTACTATGGTTGTGAAACCCTCTATATGTAGGCGCGAGTATAAAATTATCACTTCGTGCTGTCAATTAGCAGAAATTTAATTACTTTTTTATAATTATGATTTTGACTATAGATTCTCCATTTTATAATATTTATTTTTGAGAATGATCGTGACACTCCAATCTTGCGAAATTAAATTTATTTTTATTAGAAATGTTGATGCAGAAGGAATAATGATCCTTCTCTATCAGACAAAGCGAATAATAGAGCAATGAGAGTCCTATTGTTTTATACAAGCAACAAAAAGTACTACAGTTAATCGTAAAAGATAAAATAAAAAATATTTAGAAATAAAACATTGAATATTGAAAAGTAAACTACATGATATCTCACGATATTATATTTGTATGAAAAACGTTGGGTTTCTCATAATTCTTGTATTCTCTATTTTTTCTTACGCAGCAAATTGATACGAAGGGATATGCATAATCAAATGACACACACAAAAAACACAAAGTTTCTCTTAATGACAATATATTTGTTTTCGATTTTCATGAATTTATTAATGGAGCGCATAATTAATATTATTGAGGATAACAGGCAATATATATTACAACCTATTTATATAATTAAGCCTATATATACAATGAGAGTATAGGATATTCAAAAAAGAGATTGCATCCACATGATAAGAATACATCTCTTCACCGCAAGTTTTTTCTCTCTCTGTGATAGAAACCTCAACGTGTTTTTATAACAAATTCTTTAATCATGTATACATTCTGTGTACGTTTGTTAAGTACGTGAACAATTATATATAATTAATAGTGACAATAATGATGATGATGATGGATGATGATGATGATAATAATAATAATAATAATAAAACGTAATATCAATAATAATGAAATAATCATATAATAATAATAATAATTTATTTTTCTATTACGTTATATAATAATACTTAACACTAAATCCTCCTAACATTTTCTTTTTCTAACTTTTTACAAAAAGTTTCGCTTTTGGTTTTTCCCATATTCATTAACTTCTACTTATAAATCTAACAAACCGAGTTAACCTCGTTTAAGGTTTGAAAGGGTTTGGGACTAGACAACGGCGTTCCTCATAACCCGATCTCAGTTGATTACGTTTTGATATTCCTTTAGCTCTCCTCACCCTTTCGTTGAGCGTCACTCATATATACGAGTTAGCGCGTCGAGCGTTGCACTAACGAATCGCTGACTAGTTTTTAATCATCGACTACTCAACTGTGCTAATTAAGGCACTGAATAACTAAGAGTAGGCGAATGTACATTTTCTGAGTTTTAAGAACAATTGATTAGTTCATGTGTTAGAAAGTCATCGCTGATAATAATGAGGCAATACAATGTTTAAAACGTACATACACGTTTAAAACAGATACGCTTTATTAAAATTACTAATCGTTATGAAAGTTAATTTCTTTTTTTAAATAGCAATAAGAAATGTTAGGCTCGCTCTATATAAATAAAAGCGATTTATCAATAAAATTGATTTACTCCTTGATTCTCTACATTCGCATCACCATAAAGTTATCGATATTTTTTCATTTAGTACGTCTAGTTGATTAATTAACAACAAGGCCTCGAAAGTAAGACACTTTGTTGTTGCTGATGTGCGATTTTAAGGCCACCGCAGTTAGATTAGATGTTTTCGATTCACTTAGACCATATTTTTCTATAAATAAGTTACATTTATGATTCCATCTTGGTAAAATTAATTAATATTTCAACTAGTAATACGTGTAATATCTTATATAGTTTGTAATAAATATTGGTATATTTATATACATATATGTATATAAATAAAATAGTATTCTGATAGGCAACAGAGAGCCGAAACAAGTAGTGCGCACGAATTAATATATCGGTAGACAAGTACTTTGGAAGATATATCTTGTAATTACAATGTATTCTATGTATAGATGTATTTATAGACGATATTTATAATTGATCCTTGAGGTAAAAGAATTATTTTAATTACGTATATAATTATAACATGATATATATATTATAATAATTATAATTAGAAGCGGAACGAGAGAGAAACGTGATTCGACTAACTGCTGAGATTTTCGAAAGGAGAAATCGAAAGAGTATCGACGAATTCGTTGTTGCTCTACAAATGGACATACATTTTTGAGTAGGCATAAATGTTATTTGTATTAGAGAAATTAATCAAGATATATATATATATGTGTGTGTGTATGTATGCAATATGGATATCAACAAAAAATTCTTATTCATCAAGATTCAAGGATATAAATTCGTCTTTCGCTTTTCTAAACATTATTCTAAAAATTCCATTATAGACAATCGTGATCCTTTTCTTCGTTGAAAAACGCATGAAAATATAACTTAACAACTTAACACTAGAAATTTTGTTTATTATTAAGTCTTTAGGATCTACTTAAAATTTAACTAAAATTTAAAAACATCTCTGAAATATCTGAATCATATAACTGGTTCTAAAACTATAGTACGGAGTTCTCGCATCTTTAATATGTTAACGCATTCAACTAACTTTGCTCAAAACATATCATGTGTCCATAGCTATGATTGTTCTCTGAAAAGAAGTTTCTCGAATAACACTGTAATAAGATTCAACAGAATCGTTGCGCGAACAAACGCGTTCGATGTGGGAACGAAAGTGCTTAAGAGCAAAGAATTATTGTATAATATTCAATAAATTTCAATATTAAGTTAAAATAAGTTTTAAAAATCATAATAATGTGTTATATTTCGATACATCACCCTGTTGTAATATTTTGAAATACAAATCTAATATCAGAATAGCGTTATGTTTGAAAGCTAATAAGATTCGCGCACATAGCTTTTTAATATGGATCAAAATACATTCATAAGCCTCTTTTTCGGCTCTCAAGTTCCGAATCACTCGCACGTCGAGGATCGCTTTCCCGAACGAGCGAACATTAGCAGTTCATTATATAAATAATTATAATTGTAACTCTAAAAATTGTTGCGTCTTTTCTAAAATTTCGCGATATGTTGGTCGAGCGCTCCAGTATCGGCTCTATGGGAGAAAGGAGAGGAAGATTAGATCGGGGAGGCGAAAAGGGAAGAGTAACAGATCGTTAGCGAGATGTTGCGGGTCGCAAATTTTGACGGGTTTGTCAAAACTCATTCTCTTCGCCTCTTGCGGCTCTCGCGGGTTGTATTTCGATACATTCGCGAGATATGATCAGGAACATATAGAAATCTTGAAAAATAACTAATAACGAGGAAGATGATGAGCTAATCCCCGAAGACAGCAATCGAGGATCGAATGTTTCGTGCAGCTCTGTCGCCCGTTTCTGTCTCGTAGAAGGCTTAGCTGCAACTATCTCGGGCGGTCTAATGTTAAAGCTTTATTGCAATCTGGCCTCCTGAGGTGTTGTCTGATACGGTAAGCCCGGGAAAGCTGCTCCAGCTGCTGTTGCCGCCGCCGCTGCCGCTGCTGGCAGTCCTGCAGCACCTGGCAAAGTCGCATACGTGTACGGTGCCACATAACCCGCTGCGGCCGCATTAGCTGCAAAGAGAAAATTATTTCCCATGAACATTACGTGTACATTGAAAGAAAAAAATGTATCAAATTTCAATAAACATGCGTTGAATAGTGTCACTTGAATATTTATTAAATGTAATCACATATTTATTTGGTCTAATAATCATTAATTTTTAATTATTATTTTTTTTATTTTTAGCAGATATTTATTTTTCATAAATATGTAAATGTTATATTAGTACTATTCGAACAATTACTTATTAAAATTTGATACATTTTTCTCTCAATGTACATAGTATAAATATTTATCTTGTAATTATTTCATTGAATGGAACTCTTCTATCATTAAATTTTCATTTATAAATTCGTCTAAAATTTTACTCATGAGAGATCACACAAATCTAATATACGTATTCAAAATAAAATATCGTTCCTCTTGACATAACAGAAAAAAAAGCATTTGCAAGCGATTTGTGCGCGTTGTAAATATTATTTTGTGCCTTAGTTTTTTCTCCTTATAGTGCTATTCGCTTGTATGTAATACGTAAAGCGGATAGTGCTTTTTCTCGTTGACCACCATCACTCACCGCGAGAACACCGCCACCATCACCACAGACAGCGCAGATCGACAATATACAATATTATGTGTCAATATTATAGTTCATGAAGCACATGCAATATTTTTAGCCTGTTCATTGTTTACCCATTTTTTAGCACCAAACAATGAAGAGATCTCGTGCGCGAACGTAGAACGGTAACATAAAAAAAAAATACATTTAAATATATACATAAATATGTATAGTTATATATATATGTATATAATTGTTAAAAAAAAAGATAAAAATAAAAATATGTAAAATAAGAAGAAAAATGAGATGCCATTTTATAGCTTGAGAATTTTGGAACTTACTTTTCAACTGATATCGATATGAATATTGCAAAATATTCAATACTCGAATTCGAAAGAAAGCAAAACGTACATCACACAAAAGACGTAGCAGGATTCCCACGAAGGATCCGTCCGGAAATGCTCAAGGCTTTTGGAAAACGCAAGGTGTGTGTGTGTATAGAATAAGCAATATACTTCATTGCATTCGCTTCGTGACGACATACATCTCCGACATCGGAATTATTATTCCCCTAACCATGCATAATTTGGTGCGTAGCGAAAGCTGCACACATCAGGTTACGCGTTTCCCCAATTCAATTCCCTTCGCATTATCCCACGTATCCCCCAACCCCCTTGTGAAAACGAAAACCAGATCCTGTGAGAACTTGGCTTGCGAGTAAGCACTACGAACAGCCCCGAGGAAAGTGCGTCGCAACCCCTCCTATCTCTTCCCTCCCTATCTTTAAGATCTTCTACCGTAATCACGCAGCACGGACGGCAGAAATTGCGGTAGGAGAGCTTTCTCCAACCGTTGCTGATGCGCCAACGTCGCACCGGGTCCGTTTTGTTGTTGCTGCTGGTGGTGTTGGTGGTGGTGTATCGGATAGTTGCTACCCTTGCTCTGGACACTATTCAAACACGTACCAGCCGCGGCCGCGGTGGTGTACGGATATGCCTCGGCGAAGTTGTACGAAGTGCCCGGGTAAGTCGCGGCGGCTGCTGCCGCGTTCTGATACTCGTAGAACTGCGATGCCGCGGCGACGGCGGCTGCGTGGCTCAACTGCGTCGTTGGAAGCGGTACCAGACCACCTGGCGCCGCAGCCGCCAGGTAGGGCGATTGGTACACGTAGCCCGGTGGTACCCTGTAAAACGAAAATGACCGTTAGTTACGAATGTTGATGCGATGTCAGACGCAACGACACTCGAAGATCTAAGATGGCGGATGTTTGTGAATTAAGTGCACTGATGGCAAAATTCATATTTTGAAAAAAGAAAATACTCAAAGAAGCAAAACTAGATTTAAGTTTGAATGCACCATTTCGTGCGAATGATCTCTATTAGATATGTATGTCAAGAGAATTATTGTTTGTAAATATAAATATCTTCCTTTTTAGTCACGGAATTGGTACAAATAAAACGCCATCTGGTCTGTATACAATGATAATTCACAAACAAGTACCTGTTTTGAAGTGGTCGAAAGCCATCTGAATAAATCTGATAGCTTTCGGTCACTTCAATTAAATACTTCTCTCATTTTACGAGACGTAATGGAGTTAGGAAGGAAAGACAACGTATAGCAAATGTTATATTCGTGTCAAGATTAGATGTAGGTGTAGGTAGAAAAATTTTTTCGTGTAACGTGTTTTAACAATTCGCGACGTTCATTATTGGATCGTCAATCGGAATCAATATTTGTAAACTCGTTTTTTGTCACTTGATTGTTTTAGAATGGTTATAAAGACAAGGATTATTAAATATCCGGAGACTCGATACGATAAAAATAAATTCCGCGTATACGCATGTTTCTATACCATTAATTCGTCAGCACGAAGAACATGCGGCGACAAACTTATTGCATTTCGCGCTACAAGAAGATTCTCGGCTCGACGGTCTTTCGCTCTCGAGCAGCTCTCTACCAACACCAAAAGCACGCAACACCAAAGTCACCAAACGGCAGAGTGAGCGAGGGACCGAGTTCTCTTCGACCGATCTTCGCGCATATATAAATACGAACGATTGGATCAAAATGCGCTTCTGTATTTCGATAACGATCGATATACGCGTGTGTATGTATGTGAGCGAGAACATTAAGTGTACAGAAATGTTTTATTTTATGTGTTCTAAAATGGCATATCTTGGAAAACTTAATTACACCTTTTTTTCGTTTTTTTTTTTTCCTGTGTACTTCAAGATATGCAATCTTAGACCTATGATAAAATATTCTGTATACAAACATTGGAAGTTACGCGCTTTCTCTTTAAATTCCTGCTAATGCTCAAATCGAGTTTTTCAAATTTAACCGAACCATTAAGAACTTTCTAATTTTCATTAAAATCAATATTTTAATTCTTATATAATTAAATTAAAAATTTAAATTCTATTGAAGCGAATTTCATTTATAATTAATTGAGAAGTCAGATTTTATTTGTCCGCACTCTCAAAATATAATTTATTAAGATTTATTAATTTTTTATATAAATTTGAGTTCTTATTTGATCTCTTTCATCAAATTAAAAAAAAATCTACTCCATATTTATTTAGCGAATTCACAAGGAACTAAGAGAAACTCACGTCTTCTAATATATTGTATATGTGTGTGTATATGTGCGTATCTAATGCATTCTGATAATGTGCCGTGTAAGATATTACATAGAAAGGCTACTATTAATTTAAAAAAATTATATTTACATCGTTCCCGAGATTTTCATTTTTTTCAATATAATATACCTAAATAAAATTGAATACTGATATCTTAAAAATTTTTACGTATAACGCAAAGTGTCACTTTGACAAATTTTATCACACAAAATATACGTCTGTATTTCACTTTCAAAAAAGAAAATCACATCTTCGTAAAACAGAAAAAAAAAAAAAGAAATCGACTAGCATCAGGATGCACAGTATATGTGTAAGTATGTGCGTGCGTGCTTACGTTCGATGGTATTTTGTTGGAAAAGGGAAGGAAAACGGGAAAGCGGAAGGAAGCAAGTCGATGTGAAAATGGTAACGTTGCTCTAACTGTGGTATCAATAATAAGGCGGAAAACGTACGCAACAATCCAAGAAAAAATCTTTCACGTGTTGGCAAAACAACAGCAAACCAACGACAAACGTGTATGTAGGTGACTGCACGAAATATAAATACTTCTCGGCACACGGCACACGATTATCTAACACCAACGTTAGTACCTAAATTCACAGATCTAAGGAAACGTCTCGAGTTCGTTACTCTTCGATTTTTATACATTCTTTGAAAATATACTTATGAGTATCTCAAAATAAGATATGCATATACTTATACTTTATAAATATAGATATAAATATACTTAATAAATACTTAACACTGTCCGTGTACAGATTTAGGGGATGAACTCGATATTCTTATTCGTTATCATTTGAATTATAGAAAATTGTGGAACAACAAAAATTTGAATACTTTGTTATTTGTAATTTAATAAAAAAATAATAAAAATACTATTTTATATTATACTGTAATACGTTAAAAATTCAAAGAGTTTGAAATTTTATTGAAATAAAAAAATAATATTACGTCGCGAAAATGTTTTCAAGACAAGAGAATACGAGTGCGTTTACGTGCATTATTGCTGTATTATCCAGTAAACTTGCTCGTTACGTTTCGCACGTTATTACAACGACGAGTACAATTGTTGACTTCATGCATTCATGCTTGTGCGCATCGCATCCGTTACGTATTGTATATCTTTATCAGTCATATTATATTTTGAACGTGCCGAGTTGTCGAATTACATCACTGTCAGGTTGTGGCATCCCCTAAATCTGCCACTATTTGCAAATATTTGGAAAAATATAAAACGTTGCTTAATTTAGATTACTCCGAAGTATACATCCAAACGAAAAAAAATCGACGTTAAACGTTTCGAAACGTGTCCTTATATGAAAGAAAAAAAAAAAAGATAGTACATCTCACGGCAGTGCCTCTGTCTCCCTTACACTTTGTATTTTACTCTTTGCTTTTCTTTACTCTCCTCAAATAATAACGCGCGGAAGATTCCGACTGGCGCGAGCATTCTTCGACCACCCGCGAAATTTGTTCACCGATTCGCAATTGTTTCTTATCGAACGACGTCTACTCTGCGAATAAATAAAAATATATGAAATAGGTAAAATTGTTCAAATTCGTGTGTAGAGTTGAGTTTTAGAATTGACAATTTATATCGTATATTATTTTGAATTATTTAGATATATTAATGAGCAATAATCTATAATTTCTATTAATGCGTATAATAATTCTTACATTTCACAAGTTCGGTTCAATGAATTTGACAACTACTTATGTAAATAATTAGTAAGAAAAATTGAACACTTGATTCACGGGAACATAAATAAAACGAAGATACATTAAAAAGAAAAGCGATTAACAAGTATTGACTTTTGAAAATGTGAATAGATAGGTCAACGTAAGTTTCGATATCCTATTTTGAAATCGAGTTAGAGATTACAATTTTATCTCATACAGTATATGTTTGCTATATCGGTATTGAGTAAACTTAATTTACACGCAATCTCAATAAGGTGTATTTATTAACACCTGTCATACATAGTGAATTATTATTAATTAAGGGCTAACAGATATTCAATAATTGATTAAACAATAAAGAGCGATAAGGTAGAATTTCGAGACACTAGAGGAACCCGGCCTCTTTTCCGGAGACAGCCCTGAACTTTTTAGCGGATCGATAATAGCCAGTGTCCAGTCTGCGAAGGAAATCAATATGTCGTCCTGTGGCTCCGAACGACAGAGCTCCTCCGCAACGTCGGATTGGTGCCTGGTGACCATTATCACACAATCGCAAACAATCGAGAGCGCTTCGACACGCGTGTCGTACGTCGCTTAATTCGAACGAACATGTCAAGTCGCGTGCTGCAACGAGGGAGAGAAAGAATCACAATGGTCGTAAAATCGACGACCTTGAATTGGAGTTGTCATCCAGGATGGATGACCACGCGGTCGATGAACATTACATGACGCGAGGAGAGCGAAATTATAATAAAGATAAAAGTGAAAAAAAGAGCGACGTGTTGCTATAACACTATAATGTCGCATTGCGGACGAACGGCACTTTTATTTGCACCGTTCGAAGAGGATCCGAGCGAGCGAGAATTCGATTTTTAATATGGCAATTTGCAAAATAAATTGCGTCATCTGGGGAATACGAAGCGTGTAAGTAAAAAATATGTAACGAAGATGACCTCTAAATAAACGTTCTTAAAAGGAAAGATCGTTTTGATACCGTGTTCCAAGAGACTATAATCTCTCTCTCACTCTTTGTGTTTGCTACAATATTAATTATGAGTTTTTCACAATATAAATAATTTATTCGCATAAGATTAAAAAAAAAACTCAAGTAAATTGTATGCATTTACGAAAGAATGATAAAATCTGTGTCCTTGGCGCAACGAAGCGCATAGCAAACTCGAGAAGCATATAGGAATGGAACATTGATGCACCGATGTAATGCACTTTTTTTTTTATCTCAGTTTCGGTTTTAAAATATTGGCTTAGTCCAAAGTATTTCACAAATTATCTGTGACGTCAAAGCGTGTCGACCTTGTTCTTAACCGAGGAGAGATTCGCAAGAGAGCCGAAAAATAAAGATAACAGACACATACTAGATAAATAAAACTCGACGCGTTGCGCGGCGATCGATCTAACTGTACAAATAAACATACGGAAATTAATACAGGTATTGCCAATTTTATTGACATCGAAGACTGTCAGCCACCTGCTGGACTTTTCAGTGTTTTACACAAACACGTATATATAAATCATACTGAAGATAAATTGATAACGATCGTTATATGAAAATATCCTTTTTATTCTTTCTAGATTTCTCGTTCACTTTAGATTTTCCATTGATTTATTTTTAATTCCTATTAACTTACAATTAGAAGCAAAGATAGGGAACACATTTTCTTCCATTTAACGAATGCTGAAAAAAATCTGCTTATGTGTGAAAAATAAAAATATCTATAATACATATATACATAATTTTCTCAAAATAACAAAATTTTATCGCAGCTATTTTAGGATGATTACCACATCAATAGAATAGAATGTCTATGAACGTTTAAGAAAAATATGAAACCACGTGTTAATTCTC